AATATGCATTTCTTTTATTATTGCATTCAAGCCTGGAAAGCATTGCAAATGTGATCACTTAATCATAGCTGCATGGCTCAGGCTTCTGCACATTCTCTCCCAGGCAGAGTTCGTACGGAGGTGCGGCGTTTCAGTTAGGAGAGATCGGGAAGGACGGCTGGACTTCAAACTGCATTAAATCACCTCATACTGCGTCCAGCCGTCCTTCCTCTAGGTATATGCAGGAATATGGGCAGCTCTACCTAGAGCGAGGACGGCTGGACGCTGTATGAGGTGATTTGATGCAGTTTGAAATCCAGTCCTTCCCCATCTCTCCTAACTGAAACTCAGTACAAGCTCTGCCGGTTTGAAAATGTGCAGAAGCCTGAACTTTGCAGTTGTGATCACTCGCAATTGCAATGCTTTCCAGGCTTGAATGTAAATATTAAAGAAATGCATATTTTTTTTTATATATTAATAATTATGCATTTCTATATCTGTAAAAAATCATTCAAGGCAACTGGACTTGCTGTATCTTTTCTTGAAGACGTTTCACTGGCCATCCGACCAGCTTTCTCAATTCAGAATGACTTGTACAAAGATTCTCTGGGAATAAATATGGTGAATGTTGCTCCAATCCACATAATCTGTTAGTCACAACCAGGTATTGATTGCATTTTCACAATTGGAGCTAGGCGGGGTATGTATGTATGTATGCATTTCTTAAATTTTTCAAAAGATGAACATTTCCTTTAAATAAAACAGTATTTTTGTTTGCATGTGATTGGGTGATGGAAATCAGCAAAGCGTCACCTCATTTGCTCAACTAAGGGCAAATTCACTTGCAAAGTAAAACGCTTATTTGCCTATAGTAAATCAACCCCTTGCCTTCCTTGTAATTGCACCTGTTCATCCTGCTTTTAAATGATTATTATTATTATACAGGATGTATGTTATTGTTAGTATTTTGAATTGTATTTGTTGGGCATGTGGGATCCACTGGAGGGATTGGCAAATGGGATCCCCATTCACTTCTTATCATAGGGTGACAACACTGCTTTTCAAGGTCTGAAGTGTTGTCACTAGGGATGAAGTTCAGTTTCACCACTACCATTGGTTCAAGGTAAATCCTGCAGGTTCCAGGTGCACAATACTGGCGAATTTATATGCAGATTCAAAACCATATATGCAGATTTAAAACCATAATGCACTACATGGCTTGTAAACTATGGCCAGCAGGCTTAGAAGGGCCAATAAGGGGGCTTTTAGATAGGCCAGGTCACCTAATAGTTTCAGTACATTGGAAGCTGTTGTAGGGAAAGGATAGGAAAAGCTGACAAACTGCATAAGGGGAGAGATTGGGATGTTGATAGAGCCTTTATTTTAGGTTAAACTGATTTTTTGTGTTTTGTTTTTTCTTTTGCTGCAATTCTTTACAAAATGTGGGCTTTTGTTTTCAGAGTGGCAATATGGGCTTTTCATTTGGCTTTTTTTATTTTATGTTGATAGGGCCTTTTCTTAGTTTGGGGTGCCCAAAGCAGAACATTCCCTTGTGAGTGACCATTTGTTCTTAGAGCTGCCTTTTGTTTAGAGTGCACCGCTGCATCAGTTAAAAGGGGAAAAAAATAAGTGCAAGAACAGCAACCTCACAATTAGTGAATGGCTCGGGCGTGTCCAGAGCTCCACGTGCCGAGCCCGCCAGGAAGCTGAGAGCACCGCAGCGCCAATCACAGGTACTGAGACATTATCCCGGTCCGCAGCTGCAGAGATCAGGATATGTCTCAGTGCCTGTGATTGGCGCTGTCAGCTTCCTGGCAGGCTCGGCACGTGGAGCTGCGAACACGCCCGAGCTCATCACTACTCACTCAAATTCACTGCATCCCCGATGCACATAAAAAAATAAAAGTAGGCATACACCAGTTAAGCCTACTATCCCTAATTAAAACTGCCCTGCTGCTGGCCAATTTTACACTGCTGTGTCATCTGTGGTCTCTTCATTCTTAATAAAAGCTTGATGTAAACTGGCTGACAACAGGATGGTTTTGTATCAGTGAAAACAGGGACCAACACAGCAAACTACTGGCTAATATCTATCCGCCAGTCAAAATGGGTCCTTTACTGTGATGAACAAACACTTGTCACTGCTAACTGAAAAAAGGTTTGTTTTCAAACCAAATTAATCAGATTGGGGTTCTGTGAATATATGTAAGCCAAGCTAAAAGAAAAAAAAATTTGAAAATTGAACTGTTCCATAGCACTGCATAGAGCTTTAAGACATATCCCAAGCATGTGGTTTAACCCTTCTGCTGCCACTAATCTAAGGATTATGTCTGCAACAGTACTAACAGGTTGTCAGGGTACCAGGGGTGCCACGGTTGCCAGATGCAGCGCAGGGCAGGGGTCTTCCTCTTCCTGGCAGATCTCCTGGTGCCAGGGCCACGGATGCGCGAAATGCGCGGCGGTCGCACGCGTGGTTGACTGACTGCGAGCGCATTTAGTCATATGTCCCAGGTTTATTGTCCCTCCTGGGTGTCCGGGACCTCCATGGCGGTTGTCAGAATAGAGAATGGAGGGAGATCAGTGATCCATTTGCTGGTCCCCCTGTGAAGGATGAACCCGGAAGCAATCAGCTCTGAGCTGTCAATCTCCGCTGCTCATGTTGGGAATGAAGCTAATCAAGGACTGTTTGTATGATTTAGCAGGGTGCAGATGGGACATTTGGGCCTAATATACCCCTAATGTCTCCTTAAAGGGAACCTGTCACTTGCACTGTGCTATCATATATATAAAGTATCACCGTACATGCCAGAGGAAGAGCAATCACTCTAGTGCCATCATTCACTGTAAACTCTAAAACGATGGCCTGCAAAGGCTTTTAAAACTTTGTCTATGTTCAATTTTGGGTACTGTAGTTTTCTACCACTTCAAAGGCATGTGCAATTTTAAGACATGTTTGGTATGTATTTACTTGACACAACCTCATCTTTTATATTTTACCAAAAAAAAGGGGAATAATGTTGTGTTAGTGTGCACTAAAGTGAATTTAAGTATATTTTTTACTGAATAAATACCGTATTTCTGCTTTCAGAATATATATAATATGTTTTAGGGATTTTAGGTAAACTCCAGGTCTAAAATGTGCATTGTTGTATGTGAGCAAAAAATAAATCGAATAAATAAAAAGGCTTTGGGGTTAAAGGGTTGAAAGGATTAGTGTATTTTTAATGTTGCCCTCAAAGCTGTATAAAAAGACCCTCTCCCCTCTGTACAGTATTTTGTTTTTGTTGCATTGGTACATGGCAGTGCCCAGCTTCCAATGCTTTTTTTACAATAGTTTGTCAATGGCCAGAAAGTAACAAGATTCGCCCCCCATTGACTAAATTATACATACAGGATAGTATATTGTATAATATAATGTATTCTCTAGTATTTTTCTTTCTTTTTAATGGGCAAATACAAATAGGTATTGCATATTTTGTATTGCCATATCCAGCCAGCAGGCTGAGTTAGAGACTTGTTTTTACATTTGTGCTATTCCATCCTTATTGCGGAAAGGAAGCCTTTTTTGTTCATAGGTCAGTAGCTCAAAGTTTAACTTTTTGGCCCTGTTCACACCTTTACGTTTTGTCGCGCGTTCAACGCTCTATGAACGCTCTACAAAACGTACAAACTTGAAAATCCCATTGTTTTCTATGGGTATGGTTCACACCTTTCCGTATTTCAGCCCGTCTGAACTCGCTACAAAACGGCCTACGCCCAAAGAAGTACACGTACTTCTTTGGGGCGTTTTGGTCTCGCGTTTCCATTGGGATACAGCCAAGTAGCCCTCGGAAACGCGAATCGCGGTAAAAACGTGCATATTCAATACGCCTAGGTGTGAACCCAGCCTTTAAGTTTCCGT